TACCCCCACCTGCACCTCCCCGCTTCATAGGAGGGACCATGGTTCCCATCAGCTCTGTGAGATCAGCAGTCATGCAGGATCCTGTGGGCTTGTTCTGAACGTTCAGTGACCCCATCTGTGAAATGGTGGGGTGGTTTCATAGGACTGTTTCTGTTACAACAGGCTCCAGTGAATCCCAGAGACAAGTTGTTGAGGCAGGGAAGAGACTCTAATCGAGGAGCTGGCAGGCCGAGAAGATGGCAGGCTAGCACCTCAAAATAACCATCTTATTGGGGTCTGGATGCCAGATTCTTTAATCGATCAGAGAGAAAGAAACAATGAGGAACTAAAGTCAAAAGGCAAAACAGAGAGGGAGAGGCAGTGGGGAAGTCAAGTGAAAGCCTCTTCCATCTTGCCAAACATCTCCAAGGGAATGGCCAGCCCTTGGAAGGGGTGTGTTAATCTATTCACAGGTGGGCAGGAAGAAACTGTCTCTCCAAGAGCCGAACAAAGGCACTATAGTTTACAGTCAAACAGAGGGGCAGGGTCCTCCAGGCACGCCATGGAGTATTGATTATAATAATAAAAGCAACAAAATGCAAGTCAAGGAAAGTTTCCAACATGGAGTCAGAATTGGCTTCCTCCCCGCAACATTTCTGCAGTTCACTTCTCATAAAATGTAATTTTGAAGTCAGGTTCACATGGACTGTAGGAAGTTGTGCATGCCCTAGGAAAAGCCACTGTCTTCACTGACATCTGATGAATAAATTAGAGTATGTCTGGCTGCTTACAGCAGGTGCCAGGTCTGACAGCCACTTTGAAAAGTTCTGACGCATGTCCTGAAGGTCAGACTTTGTAAATGGAAACTGAGAAGTGCAGGAGACTGTATTCCTAGCCCAACTTCTTAAACTCTAAAATGTTTTAGAAATTAGAAAAGCATTTTATTAAATCAGCTATAGATTATGTACCTGTAAAGCAAATCAAAAGGCAAAGAAATTATTTTTAAAAAGGGCTTTGTTGGGAAGATTTTAACAGGATTCTTCAGGTACAGGTCACTGGATAGCTTTATGAGAGACTTGGTCAATGTTTCTCTGGTGGGTATTAAAATCAAGTTGTTCCTTTCAGGGCAGCAAGAAAATGGCTCTAGTTTGCAGAGGGCTCTAAGCACGCATTGACTGGGAGAAAAGGGACAGCCTGGATTCAGAGTACAAATTTCCTTCATCTGAAACCTTGTCAGCAGATCAAATCTACTATGAATGACAACTTAGAATTTTGGAACCGAAAGGTCCTCTAAAAATCAGAATCCACTTCCTCTTTTGTCTGCTCACCTCTCCACCTCCATGTCACTTCTACCAAACTCTCATTTTTTTTCCTATGAGGAAATCAAAGGCCCAAAATGTAGCCAAATTTCTTTTATCTTAAAAATAATCTACTCAGACCCGTGTCCTCTCGCCCCACTCTCCAGTTTGAACATGTGGCATTTGATGTCTTTGAATAACCCTTCTTCCTCTCCCCAGGGTTCTGCTGGAACTGTGCATTCCTGCTTCTGACCCTTCCTTCTCCCTCCATCACTTTCCCCTTCCATCCTGTCCTTGAAAGTTCCCGTTATCTGAGAGTCACCCTCTGGATCCTTCTGTGGGTTTACAGTTCCACTTGCATCTTAACCGTTCCTGCTGAGTAGCCATATTGTGCTACCAGTCACAGAGGGTGTTGAAAGCAGTATTTTCAACCTCCTTAGTATTCTCTTCCTCTCTCCATGGGCGTGTATATACTTGTATTTATATATATATATATATATATATATATACATATATATATATATACATATATATATATATACACACTTGTACATATATTCTATAAACTCAGGAGTTTTTTCGTTTTTCAAATTACACAAGCAGTCATTCTGTTAACTTCCTCTTCGAGGGGCTTGTCTCAAAGCCAGTGAGGTAGCCTTGCATTCCTGTCAGAGATTGCAGTTGCTAGGGGAGGTTCTGTCAGCAAGGGTGAGAAGCCAGGGAAGAAGCCTCCTTCTCACAGAATCTCAGAACGTCAGCAGAGAGTAGATGCTGCAGAATCTCAGGGAAGATTCCGTGTGCACCTATCCTTCTGTGAGACAGGCTGATCCGTCTCCTGGGGAATCCCTCTGCCTTTAGTATATTAGAGAGCTGGGTGATGGTAGTCCTAGGGACCTAAAGGTATCTGTAGCCTTGCCCTTTTTCTCCTGAAGCCCTGCTTCTTCCTCTGAGACCAAGATGACCTTGCTGGGTAGTAGAGGCACTCTTAAGTCAAATTAGGATGATTACCCTAAATCTAGTGCCCTAGTAGCTCAGGCAATAAAGAATCCACCTGCCATGTAGGAGACCTGGGTTCAATCCCTGGGTTGGGAAGATGCCCTGGAGAAGGAAATGGCAACCCACTTCAGTATTCTTGCCTGGTAAATCCCATGGACAGAGGAACTTGCCAAGCCTCAGTCCTTTGGGTGGCAAAGAGTTGGACACAACTGAGTGAGTGACTACACCTTCAATCTTGTTATGCAATCTTTAACCACACTGAGTTGTCACATAGGGTTGGGGAGAAAGCAGTTGGAAAATAGGGAGATGGCTCATTTAAAAAAAGATTTGAGACTTACACATTTGGCCTGTAAGTTTCCTTACTATCACCAAGGCAGTGTTGCCTCTTCCAGAATTCCAGCTCAATCCCCCCTCTACACACTTCCTTAACTTTGTTGTTTTTAAGGTTATTTGAAACCATTGATTCTCTTAAAAGTCATATTTGATGTTCAGTTCATTCATTAAAAAATACTGCATTAGAGCTTTTTTTTTTTTTTTTTTTTATGGCAGGGAGGGCAGTTTCAGGGGGTGGGGATAGATGGCATCAATTTTTGGTCAAAGTCCTAGGTTGCTCATGCTCATTTTTGCTCAGTAGCTTCTGAGGAACTTAAAGAGCCAATGAGACAAAATCAATGGCTGAAGGGACCAAAAGGGTGACTGGAGAGGTGTTTGCCGCTATAAATGACTTCCCATCGCAATTTTCCTGAATCCCATTGGCAAATAGTTAAATACACCTTACAAATTGTTCTCTAATGGTTGATCAAATGCCCTGCCCTGTGCTGTATAAACATAGCAAGTTTTTCTAACTCTATGTGTATCTATTACTGTCATGGTTAGTCTCTCCAGATAAAATGGAATAACCCCCAAAATGATAACTGCAACCATCCACATTGATTCTAACAAGAGGAGAGTCACAGCATTCGTTTTGGGTGGCTTTGCAGTCTCGTATTGTTGTTAATTTCCTGAAAACTTAACGTTAGATGAAGTGTAATTGCAGATTTCCTTAAGAACCATTTACAGATACTTATATAGTCATAAGCAACTCACACTGTGAAATGTGTGCAAACATTCTAAGTTTCCTTCCAGAAGAATATACTTCAGTGAAACCCAGTATTCATCAGTTTTTTTTTTGTTTTCTTTTTGTTTTTTGTTTTTTTTAATAAACAGGGCCATTAAAACTCAAAGTAGAAGTTAGGAGAACTTCCTTTTGTTGTAACTTGATGTTTAAAAGAGATTAATGTTGCGGGAACTTTCAGTGGTTTTCAAGGAGTGAACTACATCAATCTGTGATGTATCGTCTTGGAGACCTTACTAAGTGGCTACATTTGAATGATAGAGTTAAAAAAAAAAAGAGCAAATTATAGTGTATTGGCACTGTATAATGGAGAGAGGAGTTTGGTGTGTTCAGTTTTTTCTTTTTAATTGTTAGGTGGTCTATTTAGTGCAGCTGTGTTTATGTTTCCTAAGTGGTAACTGCCTGAACATGGTGACAAGTCCCTACATATGAGAAAAGGGATTTTGTTCAAAAAAATCTTGCCAATGTACTTTAACATGGAGGGTTGTATTTATCAAGGGGCAGTGGCAAAAATGATTCTAGTCATAATCATCTAATATAGCTGGTTTGCTGTATCAGCCATTTCGACAACCTTGTTTAAAAAAAAAATAACTGATACTTTAAATGTTGCATTTCACAGTGGAATAAACTTGGAAATGGTAGAATAATTTAGAATGGTCACATTGCTTTAACCAACGTTTTGGCTAATTTAACTTCTTGGTTATTAAAAATGCATGCTTAAATCTTAAACACAGATCCTGTAGAAAATAGCCTCTTAAAAAAATAAAATGAATATGCAGTCACAGCTGCAGCAAAAAAGAGACAGTTGCCCATGAGAGAGAAAATGTATATATTAAGCAAATAACTGAATTAATCAATAATTTCAGAATTGCATGCAGTGTATGAAATGTTTAGGTGCAAAGACTTAATGACTAGTTTTTGAGGCGTTTTCTTTAGTGTTACATCCCTCATAACTCAAATTAATGTTTATTACCAGTCTTTCATATTGCCAAAATATTTTCATGAATTTGGATTAGAAGCAGCTTGTTCTGGCTTGTTTTGCAACTTTGTTTCAAGAAACAAAGTGATATTTAGAAGATTTTTGTATGTCTCAGAAGCCTTAATTATCTAACTTCTGTTAAAGGAAGACATAAGACCAAGTTTTGCTTCATAGTTCTCTAAGACAATAAAATTTTTTCTACCCAAATTTTATATTACTACATAAGTAATAATGCCTTTCTGGAAATTTGAATCAGTGATTCTTGTATTGGCTGTTAAGTAGCTAGCAATCTGGATCTGCTTTAAATTCAAGAAGACAGGACTTGGGACTTCCCCTGTGGTCCAGTGATTAGGACTTCATCTTCCAGTGCACAGGGTGTGGGTTCCACCCCTGGTCGAGAAGCTGAGATTCCCCCATCCCTCACAGCCAGAAAACCAACACATAAAATAGAAGCAATATTGTAATAAATGCAACAAAGACTTTAAAAATGGCCAACATTTAAAAAAAGAAATCTTCAAAAACAATTTTAAAAGACATGACTTACTGGTCCATAACTCTTTGGGTTGGCGTTTATTTTGGCTTCTCAGACATTTGCCTGATGGCTCCTATTTTTTTTCCTCCCCTCTTTCCGCAGATTGGTCAGAGACAACAAGTGTTAGTCACCGAAGAATCTTTTGATTCCAAGTTTTATGTTGCGCATAATCAATTCTACGAGCAGGTAAGAGACACTCCCACACTCTCAGGATTTCTCCAAAATAAGGAGGAGTTCTGAAAGTAAATCAATTTAAGCAAAAGAGACTTAAAGTAGCAGAGATTTGTGTTGATAGCATTTTGTGGCAGGAAGGCTATTTTATAGCATCAGGCCAGCCAAACTAACATGGGGCTTATCTTTGTGGCTTAATCTACAAAACATTCTATCCAAAGGAGTAAGTGTGTTTTAGTCCTCATTCGTCTTTGATGGGAGCAGCCTGTGGTGTTGGGGAGTTTGAAACAGGCAGTTCTGACCGCCCCAGCCTCCCACAGCCTGGCACCATGGAGGGAAAAGTTCTGTCCAGGGGACAGGAAGGATGTCTGCACCGGCGACATCAGCCTGGAAGGGCGGGGACTTCCTCTCCCTGTCTCAGCGCTCACACAGCCTTTTGGTTGGTTGTCTGTTGGTTGGCTTTTTTAGTTTCAGGGTTTTATTTTTTTGTATTGCCTTTTTTTTTTTTTTTAACTTCCATCATAATGAAAAGTGCTGAGGGCAAAAGGAAAAGAGTGTGTTCCTTGGACTCAGCTCACATTGTGTGAACAACTTTGGAGACCAGAGTGAGGATCAAGCTAGCTTCACTTTGAGAGTTTTCTTCAAGGCCCACCTGAAGGGACTCCCCAGTCCCTGCCCGTCTAAGGCAGCGTGCCTTGCCGCGCCAGCAGCCAGACTTCTTGTTCAGTGTTTGGGATTGCACTTCCCCAGGGGGTAAAGCAGTTCAGAAGTGACTAAAGCAAACAGTGCCTCCTCCAGGGGCCATCGGCCCTGGCAAGGAGGAAGTGCCATAGGCCCTCCGGGTCAGAGACACTCCTAGGGGAGAGGGATTCCGTGGGTCATCCCTGGATTATATTTTCTTAATATCAGGTGGGTGTTCCTACTTTTTTGTTCTCTCATGAAATGAGAAGTGGACTTTTTTCCTGAGGATCGTGGCTTGGGAAGGCTCTCCAGGCCAGTATGGGCCACCCCGGTGAGGGACGAGCAAGTGCGGCCGACCGCCTGTGTTGGAAACAGGGGCGCAGGAGTGGGAGGCGGTCCCAGCATGGCGTCCCATGTGGACTCCTCACACCGGGCACTGAGCTCTCAGGGGGCAGGGGAGAGCTTTACAAGGCCCAGGCTGAGCGTGCCCTGTTCAGGCCCCAGTAGAGACTGCACTTGAGGTGGTGGTGGTGGTGGTTTAGTTGCTAAGTTGCATCTGACTCTTCGCGACCCCATGAACTGTAGCCCACCAGGCTCCTCTGCCCGTGGAATTCTTCAGGCAAGAATACTGAAATGGGTTGCCATTTCTTCTCCAGAGGCTCTTCCTGACCCAGGGGTTGAACCCGGGTCTCCTGCGTTGCAGACAGACGCTTTACCTTCTGAGCCAGCCAGCTGAGGACTGATCCCAGCCCTCCATGTTTGAGCTGAGCCTTCCCCGTTTTCCATCTCGACTCCAGAGAACCCTCTTCCTCTTCAGGTCAGCCTCCTGCTCAGCTCTCTGGAGGAGCTGGATTATATTTTGGTAGCCTCTTTCCTCTTCTTTCTCTTGCCATCTGGGTTTTTGCCTCAGCAGGGAACTTTTTTCCCCTTCATTTTAAAGGCGATGGCATGCCTCATTAGCTGTTTCCTCCAATTTAAAGCAGTGGAGCTTTTTCCAATTATTAAAACTGGAGGGGGAAAAAAACACTGAGCCCTTCATTCAGATCAAGGCAGCAGATCAAGGAGAGTTATTTTCCCCCAGAATAGTACCAGATCTCCCAGGGACAGTTTACTCTAGAGATTTTCTTGTTTTATAAAAACTGATTTAAAAGAGCTTTCATATCCTGACACTAAGGCTCTCTTAGTTCATTAGCTTGCCATGAGTAATCCACCACCCAGGTGACCTTTTTCCTATACTTTGATGAAGCAGTGTACTCAGTGGTCATAAAAAATCAAACTCAGAAGGACCAAGATCCAATTTAGCCTCTTGGAGAAACTGGATGTGGAATTTCTGGCTCTCATCTGACTGTTTGTTTTTTTTTTTTTGGTCTCTACAACCAAGCCTATCAAAGATTTCATAGGAATTATTTTTCTACAAAAGATGACCTCCAGAAGTGAAGATTGTATCTAGATATCAGAGTAGACTGCTATATCAGAATAAGTCTGTTAATTTTGGATTCTGACTTGAAAAGATTGGCAGGTAGCTCCAGTTCTGAAATAGAAGTGTCAGGGAGAACAGAATACATACGGGCTACCTGTAAGTCCCAGAGGAGGGAAAACATTTGCTGGAGGTAAACAAGTACCTTGATCTATAATCTCGAGTGGAAAGAGACCATCTGACAGGTTCCTGTGAGCCAGCCAAAATACCTTTCAGAGGAGCTGGTTCTGTGTGGACGCAGAACTAGCAAATAACATGCATTTTATAACAGGGCGAAAGAAACGATGGAAACCATCAGTTAAAGAAGTCATTTAGCTCAGCACCAAGGTTTGAGCTGTGGCAAAGGGGGCTATGAAATGTTCTTCTCCCCCCAAAACAACAGGCACGTGCACACACGCACACACACACACACGCACACACACATGCGCGCACACACACGCACGCACAACACACACACATGCACACGCGCGCACACACACACGCATGTGCACGCACACACACGCACACACACACACGCACCCAAACACACAGGCCTTAATTAAAGTGGCTGCTTAAATCATGACTCTGACAGTGAACTTGGAAGCTTCCAAACGTACGAGGGTTTCATCGGTGCTGTCCCAGTTTTCTTCATTGCCTGGGACAGCCGAGAGCAGGATATCAAAGGCCTGTTCAGAAGTAACTGGCGGATGCCTGAGGGGTTCCGAGCATGCCTTCCACGTGCCTTAGGAACACAGGCGTCCTGCGAGGAGTGAGCACTGTCTGCAGCCCCACCCCTCCCAGAAATGCCCTCCTTGTCTGCTAGATACCCAGATTTTTGAGCACCTGGAAGATAGAGCCCACTTAAGATGGGATCCCCGAAGAGAAAAAGGACATTAAGGGACAAGTGAGGAAATCTGCATAAAGTATAGAGTTTAGTTAATAGTAATACATCAATACTTTGTCCACCTCAAGAGCCGACTCATAGGAAAAGACCCTGATGCTGGGAAAGACTGAGAGCAGGAGGAGAAGGAGACGACAGAGGATGAGATAGTTGGATGGCATCACTGACTCAATGCACATGCATTTGAGCAAGCTGTGGGAGATCGTGAAGATCAGGGAAGCCTGGCGTGCTGCAATCCATGGGTTCACAAAGAGTCAGACACAACTTAGTGACTGAACAACAACAATGCATCAATATTGGCTTATTAATCATGACAAATGTATCATACCAACGTCAGATGTTAATGAGAGGGAAATTGCGCCTGGGGTGTGTGAGCTGTCTGTGCTATGTGAGCTGTCTGTGCTATGTTAACAATAATTCTGTAAATCTCAAACTGTTCTAAAATAAAATTTTATTTTTAAAAACTTAACTCTTCCGTCATTTTTTTTTTCAGGTTTTAGTGCCAAAGAACCCCACATTCATGGGGAAAATGGTCGAAGTGGACATTTATGAATCAGGAAAACATTTTATGAAGGGGCAGCCAGTTTCAGACGCCAAAGTATACATGCCATCCATCAGCAAACCATTAGCAAGAGGAGAAGTCTCGGGTTTAACAGAGGTAGGTAAAAGCGGCCTTCCTCTCTGCCCAGCTAGTAAAAAGGCAGCTGTGGAAGCTCTGCGATTTCCAACCATGTTTCTGTTATCTTGTACAGTTCCCATTTTATATATGCATGAGGCTTTAATCCTTTCTGACAGATTGAAATCCGAATTAGAAAGATGCATTTTTGCTGATGCCTATAGCTTTGCTTCTCTGCCTGCGGAAGGAAGAAGCTCTTTTTGCTTCTAGGCTAGAGGCAGAGGGCAGAAGCCATTATTTCCAGGTGAAAGATTTAACACCAAAGATGATCTGATCCAGTATGTTTCTGTGTCAGTAGATCCTGAGTGGAAGCAGGTAAGGAAAGGATCATTTTTGTGCTTTGCGAAAATGATTATAATACAGTAAAAAAAAAAAAAACAAAACACCTACCTACAGTTAAACAGGCATTAAACCATGTCAGTGTATGTGGTCATGGTGCCTTTCTCTAGGGTGTTAGCTGAGTATCTGCTTTAGTCATGTGGAGTGAAAATTAAACATGTTTTTTTCTTTGTATAAAAAAGTAACCTGACCCCTATTTTATACCTTGGTAAATATGGCTGTTTGCCAGGCTCTTCTTACATTTCATTGAGCTACAGCTGTAAAAGCTGATGGAGTGTGAAATGAAAATGTGTATCACGTTTCTAAGCATCATTTGATGTCCTTTCTTCAACACAATTGTTAAGTGCTCCAAAAAAAATAAAAAGTAGAGCAATGACTTAACATTCAGAAGAATGATGAGTGATATTTATCTGGCTGTATAACTCCAGTTTTGTTTTAGTAGATATATTATCTGCCCCCCACCCACCCCACCCCCCACCCCAAAGAAATGGCAAAGGCATGCTAATTAAATGTTAGGAATAGTGACAAAGAAGGTCATATTATCTATATTCTCACCTATTGTGATGACAGTCTCTGAAACCTGAAAGTGAGTGACACTTCTCACGAGCTTGACAAGGACGTGAAGACTCTGTGGGTACAGCCCTGTGACTGAAGACTCTGTGGGTACAGGCCTCTGACTGATACCGAGGGATGGACGTGAAGACTCTGTGGGTACAGGCCTCTGACTGATACCGAGGGATGGACGTGAAGACTCTGTGGGTACAGCCCTCTGACTGAGGACTCTGTGGGTACAGCCCTCTGACTGATACCAAGTGATGGACATGAAGACTCTGTGAGTACAGCCCTCTGACTGAGGACTCTGTGGGTACAGCCCTCTGACTGATACCGAGTGATGGACATGAAGACTCTGTGGGTACAGCCCTCTGACTGATACCGAGGGATGGACGTGAAGACTCTGTGGGTACAGCCCTCTGACTGAGGACTCTGTGGGTACAGCCCTCTGATACCGAGGGATGGACGTGAAGACTCTGTGGGTACAGCCCTCTGACTGAGGACTCTGTGGGTACAGCCCTCTGACTGATACCAAGTGATGGACATGAAGACTCTGTGAGTACAGCCCTCTGACTGAGGACTCTGTGGGTACAGCCCTCTGACTGATACCAAGTGATGGACATGAAGACTCTGTGGGTACAGCCCTCTGACTGATACCGAGGGATGGACGTGAAGACTCTGTGGGTACAGCCCTCTGACTGATACCAAGTGATGGACATGAAGACTCTGTGGGTACAGCCCTCTGACTGATACTGAGTGATGGACATGAAGACTCTGTGAGTACAGCCCTCTGACTGAGGACTCTGTGGGTACAGCCCTCTGACTGATACCGAGTGATGTCGGCCAGCTTTTGTCGAAACCCTGGCAATTGTGTCAGCCTACTTGACCAGGAGTGAACTCTCCAACTTGATAACCATAGAAATTAATGTTTTCTGTTGTTTAGAAAAAGATCATACGTCATACTGGGGGGTTTGGATGGATGACCAGGAAGGAGCAATGAAATCCAGCATTTAAATTATATTGCTTTTGATATGTTAGGTAATACTTCAGAAATTTTTCAAGCAAGTGACTTTAAAAAAAAAAAACTCTTTTTCCTCATGGTCTGTTTTACAAGGTTGATTTTAAATTGCCACAGTGAAAAGGATTTTATGGCAAATAGCAGCAGTGGCCAAAGTGTTATTTCAAAGAAACCTGCCTGATTTAATTCCTTCATGTATGCCTAGCAAAATTGCTGGTATTTTAAAACATCACATTATAATTATATACAAATGAGGAAAAACAGCACCCTTTCACTGGTTCCTTCACTGGAATGTTACTTTCTAAGAGGGCAGCCCCATTTCTATGCCATGGGCCAGCCTTTTCTATTCTCCTCTGCCTCCCTGCAGCCTGGGAAATGGTGTCATCAGCTCCCTGACCAGCCCTCCTCTGGGCTGGGTTGACCCTAAAGTCCTATGTGAGATGAGGATAAAGGTCATTTGACTGCTGGCCCTTCTGCCCCTCTAGGAAATATAGGTTGATCTCAGGCATGAGGCCAGAGGGTTCAGAATATTGATTTGTGCATTTACATTAAGGGGAACATCCGGCAAGCCCTTTATCACCATTTGTGACTTCATGTAAATTAATGAACAGAGCTTTCCACTTCATTATTTGTCTGCTTTTAAAGATATGCCTAACTCAGGGTTCAAAAAGCCTTCTTCAAAAAAGCATTTGTCCTGGTGTTACAAATGTTTTTGCTGATGATATGAACCAAAATAGATTAAACAGAAGAACAGCTTCCATTTTTATAGGATTTAGAGGAAGGCGATAGAGGTTATAATCCTGCCTTAGACATTTTGAGCTCTGATAAAGGTGCTGGAACTCTTCAGTGAAAAAATGAGCTTCATTCTGTGGATGAAATGTGACCCTGGGGTCAGATAGACCTGAGTTTGCATCTCGATTTGTCAGTTTACTCCTCTGAGCTTTGGTTTAGTCTGTTAAATGGGGATAATCATTTCTTTCATGGGGTTGTTGAAAGGAACGCATTCAATAGGGTATGTAAACCACCTAAAACTAGGCTTGGGACATAGTAAGTAGTTACTAAGTGGTTATCTCCCCTTTCTGCTAAATCTAGCTGCTTTAGAAACAGCAGACTCTGAAGATGACCTTTGGTTGTTAATTAGTTAGCTGTGATTATACAGTGCACATAATCCCAGGGGTGGGGGGGGTGGGGTTGGGCAAAGAGTGAATTTCTCTGATAGGGTAATCTATTCAGTGCCAAAGAAACTAAACCCATCAGAATTTCTATCTTCTTAAATTTTCTTGGCTTTTCCTGAGTTTTTCTACAGTAAATGCTTCCTCCTCCGCACATTATAAAGAAATCTAGAAAAGCCAAAGCATCTAAAGCAAACTACTGTTAAAAAAAAAAAAGTGTTTCCCATAGTAAATGTGTTTCCTTAATTGAGAATATTATGATTATTCTTTAAGTCTTTAGTCCTACACTACTTTGGCCTTATTGTGTCTTTCTTTAGGCACCACTGACTTCTGATAAAACTGGGAGAGCTACAACAGACTGGGGGAAAGCACAGGCCGGGTGGGAGTTAACGAGATCTGGATCATGGGATTCTGGCCTCTGCAGTAGTAGACTCTGTGACCTTCTGTACATCGCTTAGGTTCTCTGGACCTCTGTTGTCTCTAAGACTCTGTATCTGAAATATTTCATCTGACAAAAACGGATTGAATGCCTACGCTTTGGCAGGACTTTGAATTCTGTAAATATTAATAGAAATAAGGCCTAGTTATTTTCAAACAATGATGGTTATATAAATACCCATAGCATGGTGGAAAAGGAAAGCGTCTATAGAGTCAAAAGGTAACTGTCCTCTAAGAAATTATATTCTAATAAAAACAGCATATAGTAACATTTTTTTAATCGTTATTGCTATTCCTCTTTTCAGTTTGGTTAGAGGAATACAGGAAGAAGAGGAGGCTAGGATAGAGAGACAAATTTCTCTGATTATTTTTCGAGAAGATGGGAGCCAAAAATGCCACCTCTAACCAAATAGGGAACATTTTTGAATAAGTATTCTTTAAGGATAATTAATTTCAGAAAAAAAAAAAAAAACAACTATGTAATAGTTATCCTATGGAAAGCACTATAGGGCTCAAAGGGGTAAAAACATAAAGGACAGATCATGCATTTTTCTCTGGACACTGTCAGGCAGCTTTGTTCTTAGGATGAAGAAGAGATGGGAGAAAGCAGAGGAAATGTACATTTTCATAAGATGCTCTATGATAGTTGGAAAAGGAAATGGCAACCTACTCCAGTACTCTTGCCTGGAAAATCCCATGGACGGGAAAGCCTGGTAGGCTACAGACCATGGGGTCACAAAGAGTTGGACATGACTAAGTTGGACAAGACTATGATAATGATTCTCAAGTGTGGTCCCCAGATTTGCAGCATCAGCGGTATATGGGAACTTGTTATAATGCAAATTCATGGGCCACAACCCAAAACTGAACCAGAAACTCTGGGAGAGGGACCTAGTCCTCTGTTTTTTTTTTCAGAGGCTGTCTAGATAATACAGATGTACACTGAAGTTTGAGACCCACTTTTCCAGGAAAGTGGTGCTGAAGTGGGGGAGGAGTGTTTGATATTTGTAAAAGCGGTTTTACTATTTTCATGTAGTAATACCAGACTTTTTATATACCAGAGTGAGCTTACACTAGGTACAAAAAGAGGGAAAAAAGGATGAGAAAATGTACAGTGTTAGCCGTCTTCCCTTTGTTCTATGAGGTGTTTGAGCTGTGAGTCTGCCTTAGGAATACCAGGTAATGTGAGCATTAACAAGAATTAAGACGAGCCAGATTCACTGCTGATGTTCCTCCTCCTTCTGTGGCCCCTGTTATCACACACCACTTGAATCCTCCCATTGCTTAGATCCACAGTCAAGAAGTCAGAGCTATTTTGTGCCTTGAAAAAGAGAAAAAAAAAATTCTCTCCTAATTCTAAACTTAGAAGTAGGCAGTTTTCCTCTTTTTAGGTTTCTTCATATTTGTAAAGAATCACTTTAAAGAAAGAAGAGGCAGGGTAACTTTCTGAAAAGAGCTTGAGA